GTCTGTCTCATTGAGGAGACAAAGTATTGATTAATTTTGCGCTTTTATCTCTGCCTTCACTTACTTTTTGTGCTCATAAAAAGTATTGTATATGTTTAACAACCCTCGTAAATATTATAGGTCGATTGACTCAGAGTCGCCGTGTCTTCTGGCTAAATGCTGAAATGTTGGAGGCAGCGTGGTGGAATCAGGCTCTCGTCAAATTAATCAAAGTGAAGAAACTTTGGGAATTTTTATTTTATTTTTGTTTTTTGGCTCAACACCTTTCATGCCCATTAAAGAACTCATTTCTGTACGGAATTTTCTGAAAAACGTTGATTAAAGGCACAAAAAATGTAAATTTTCAGTTACCACGGATTCTTAAGCTAAGGAAAAAACTAATCTTTGACGGACATTTTCTCACTTATCTTACCTCTGAAAGCAGGTGACCCCCACACCCTTCATTCACAAATATCTCGACCTGTATTCAAGACAAATGGATACTTTTTTCACCTAAATAAAGACAAATGAACAAGCTTTAATATGATACAAGTAACTCTATATGCCCAAAAATTGACGAGAGCCTGATTCCACCACGCTGCCTCACAAATTGTTGTAGTTTTTTTTTTCTTGTTTTCCTCATACGATAATATCTGTGTTACGACAAGGTGGAATGAGGCACTCGTCAATTGTTTGGGCATGTAGAGTTAAAGGTATCATCGTAAAGCTTGTTGAATTGTCTTGCTTTTGACGAAAAATAATATCATCCTTATTACATAGACTAGAGATGCCTGTAACTGAATGGCCGTCACAGTTTGGTAACTTCAATAGCTTGAGAGTCCTTGGAAACTGAAAAACATACATTCCTTTTTCTTTTTGAATAGACATAAGAAGTACTGAGGTAAACCCCCCCCCCCCACCAAATATTCAATCAAAATTGACAAACTGGCTAAAAAAAGCCGGTTTCACAGATTTCGTTATTTTGACGAGAGCCTCATTTCACAACCATGCTTTCCACCTGCCTGCCCACACTACACTTCGTCTGGAAGGGATATTATGGCGTCCTACCAGACAGGCAGAGATGCTCGATAAAAAGACAATTTTCCTTTTCGGGAATCGATCTGATGTCTTCCGCGTGGGATGGCCTAGCTGGTAAGCAACACACGCCGGTAAAATTCGGCTGTGGGTATTTTGAAATGCTGAAGCTAAATGCTTTGGAATAGATACATCGTCGCAATTAAAGACAATTGGAAGTCAGGGGGAAAAAGCGCTAGTATTGTTTTTCTCAATCATAATATGTGCCTATTAGGAATCAAATACCATGTTGCCAAACCAAACGTTAAATTATTGCAACTTTAAATAAATGTAACTAGCAGCTTGAAATAGGAACAATAGCAAATTCAAGTTTGCAAATTGTTTGATCAAATTAAACATTGCAGATTTAGATTTAACTTGTGGGAATTTCAAATACCACTCTGCAACCTCAAATTACGATGGTGACAAAATCACTCCCAAAGAGAAGTCGAGGTCTGAATTTTCAACACTTGCGAAACTTAGAGGAGGCAGATTGCCATACGTGTGAAACTGAAGGTGCAGTTACAATACTTTAAAAACTCACGGTATTTCATGTTTACGTTCTTGATAGTTTCTTCGTTTATGTTATAGAGAATTTGTTTAATGTTTTACAAGCATGAGGATTCATTATCACAATCGTACAACCCATCAACGTTGGAGACGATGGAATTTTGAGTGGCGGCAGCAAACTATGCTGTAAGCAACATTTTTCTGTTGGTTGCAGTAGTACATGCATCATTCTTTAAGATATGACACTGAATCTTTACAACTTAAAAACTGTCTTTGTGCTGAACTCAAATAATACTAATTTAGTTCTGATATAAAATTGATGACAAGAGGTATTTCTCAACGTTAAAGCATAATAGCTTAAAGATTAACTACTTAAAGATAGTATAATAAATAAGTATACTTTCAAATAAACATGGACAGCATACGTGGACGGTATATTATAATTATACAGTAAACTGTAGGCAAGAAACTCAACAGCTTCCAAGTGAGATGGTTTAGGAAGATCATAAAATCAGATGACAAGACAAAGCTACAAACAATGGAGTCCTGCATCGTGCCAACTCGCATTCGATATTAAGTCCTTCATTGGCAAAAGAAGACTGCAATGGCCGTGGCAATAATAACATTATTTACCCTGTTCTTTTTTACATTGTTTTTTTAAACATTTCATATTAATATTATGCTTAGTTTTTTTTTGTTCCTTGCCCATTTCTATCAAATTGACGTTTTCTGGTCAGTAGAAAAAGGTGCACATGACAATGTCCAATACCGTGTGACGTGTAATGTTTGGTTTTGTTTCCACGTTGTTAAGGGTGAGCGGTGGTGTCTAGTTGCCTTCCTTCATCTGAACATGTTGTAATCTAGATTGACAAAAAAAGGTCAACAGCTAGGGAACAAAGCGTACAACAAGACTCTCTACCAATCAGTTGTTTGTGAGGCTTTGACTAGAGCTTTTGCATGGCATTTCACTTCAATTGATTGCACGTGGGAGTCAATATGTTAACCAAAACTGTAATAATCAAGATGATCAATGATAGGTCAGCAATTTGAAAACAAAACAAGTTATCAGACTTCCAATCAGCTGTTTGTGAACCTACGTGCTTTGGCGAGTGTTTTTACTTGGCTTCTCACTTTAATTGATTAGACATGGAGGTTAATATGTAAACCAGTACTGTTATTGGCAGCTCCTTTATTGTATTCTTGTTAGAGTTTTACGGCACTTGCAACACAATAAGGTCATATAAGTGCCGAAGATTAGAGGTGTTACAAGAAAGTAACAAACATTAAAAAGAAGGAGGGCAGATAGGGACGATAGATTTTTTATAGGAAAGAAGGAACAAACCACACCAGAGCACCCGCCAACCACCCACCTTTATTGTATGCTTTATAAATTGTATACAAACAGTAGTAAAGCTTGGTAAATTTGAAATTGGACATAAATAGGATACCTCTAAAAAATCCCCCCCCTCTTCCCCCCCCCCAACACCAGAACAATAATAATAACCCCCTCAAAAAAAGAAAAAGAAAAAGAAAACAATGACCTCCTCTCCCCATCCCAAATAACCAACAACCCACAACAAAACCGCATCTTTCTTCTTTTCTACTCCACAGTTGACTTCAGATTCATGAACGGCGTCAAATTTTACCATGAATTTTCAACACTGGCGAAACTTAGGGGAGGCAGATTGCCATACGTGTGAAACTGAAGGTGCAGTTACAATACTTTAAAAACTCACGGTATTTCATGTTTACGTTCTTGATAGTTTCTTCGTTTATGTTATAGAGAATTTGTTTAATGTTTTACAAGCATGAGGATTCATTATCACAATCGTACAACCCATCAACGTTGGAGACGATGGAATTTTGAGTGGCGGCAGCAAACTATGCTGTAAGCAACATTTTTCTGTTGGTTGCAGTAGTACATGCATCATTCTTTAAGATATGACACTGAATCTTTACAACTTAAAAACTGTCTTTGTGCTGAACTCAAATAATACTAATTTAGTTCTGATATAAAATTGATGACAAGAGGTATTTCTCAACGTTAAAGCATAATAGCTTAAAGATTAACTACTTAAAGATAGTATAATAAATAAGTATACTTTCAAATAAACATGGACAGCATACATGGACGGTATATTATAATTATACAGTACACTGTAGGCAAGAAAACAATGACCTCCTCCCCCCACCCCAAAAAACCAACAACCCACAACAAAACCGCATCTTTCTTCTTTTCTACTCCGCAGTTGACTTCAGATTCATGAACGGCGTCAAATTTTACCATGAATTTGATTGGGAACCCCCACCCCCCCAACCCCCGTTTGATGTTAAATAAAAGCTCTGTACGAAAAAATATCTTCCCCATCCTGTGTCGATTGTGTTAACTAACCAGGCAATAATTCATTCAGTGGCGATGTCCTCATGTGTTACTGCACCGTGTGTTGGATAAAGATAATT